GGGCCCCTAGCCCCCCTGGGGGCCCCTACCCCCCCTTGGGGGCCCCTACCCCCCCTGGGGGGCCCTTGGGGGCCCCGTCGGGCCCCCTAGGGGATTGAATATATGTGTGTTGTTGCTGCTGCTTACCGGCGATGTTTGCTGCTATTTGCATGCCCTTTTGTATGAAGGAGGTGTTTTGTCTCGCTGTGCATGCATCGTCTGGGGCTTCGAAGGAGAAGAGTTTTTGGGGTTTATGCGGCAGCTGCTGCTGCTGCTGCTGCTGCTGCTGCTGCTGCTGCTGCTGCTGATGGTCATGGTGATGAGCAGATCCAGGGGCCCCTGGGGGCCCCCATGTTGGTATTTGTATGTCGCTATCACTGCGGCTGAATACACTGCGTACCGAGGCCTCTGCTGGGGCCTCTGCTGCAACAGATGCTGCAGCAGCATCAGCAGGGGGGCCCCCCTCCTCCTCGTGCAGGGGGCCCCCCTCCAGGGGCCCCAGGGGACTGTGGGTACGAGTAGATAAAACAGAAGAACCCAAGGCAGCTGCTGTGTTGAGGCCCTTAGAAAGGAAAGGAGACAAAGACATACTACCACCAGAGTTACTTGCTGCTGCTGCTGCTGCTGCTGCTGCTGCTGCTGCTGCAGGGTCGCGCACAGTATGGGGATCTGCGTCCCCCTCTAATGCGGTGTAAGACATAGCCGATACAGCTACTAACGAATCCCTGCTGCTGTTGCTGCTGCTGCTGCTGCTGCTGCTGCTGTTGCTGCTGGTGCCGGTGCTAGCGCTGTTGTGCTGGTTGTTGACTGCTGCTGCTGCTGCTGCTTCTGCTGCTGCTGCTGCTGCTGCTGCTGCTGCTGCTGCTAGCTGAGGAGATAGACGCCTCCTGCACAGAGGAGGGCAAGGGGGGACCCTGAGACTGTCTGCTCTTTAGGGTGACCCCGGTGGCGTTTGTTGTATATAGAGGTTTTTCATTTGCAGCCTATTAAAATAAACAAATACAAACAAAGAAAACACAAAGAGATAGAATCGCTGCTGTAGCAGCAGCAGGACACTCCTCCTGGCCAGTGCAGCAGCAGCAGCAGCAGCAGCAGCAACAGCAGCAGCAACAGCAACAGCAACGCGCCTCTTTGTCTCTCGTGCTGCTCTAGGTTCGTGGGGTTCTTTAGACCTATATGGCTGCATAATAACAATTTAAATGTATTTATATTCAATAAAATATTTATAAATTAATTTGTTTCAGCATATTTGCTGCTTCTTTCTACTCGTGCTGTCTATACACCGGAGAGTCACCGCCGCTGGTGTGGCTGACTGGGCGCCATAGGGTGTTGCGTATGCATAAAAACGAGAAAATAAAAAATTAAATAATAATTAAACATATTTTTAAATATATTTAATAAAAAAAATCAAGAAAAATGATAAATATAGACCCAAAAATGTCTATTTCTTCTCGGTTCTGCTGTGTGCAACCACCGCTGCTACGGTCCGTCCGGGTGGCCGCTATAGCCGTTTCCTCTTATACTGAAAAAAAAGAGAAATAAAAAGAAATATTTAAATTTAAATTAAATATAATTATAATAATTTAAAATACACCACCAGTATTCTTTATTTCGGCCGTCGATACACCCGAGAGGCCCCCTCACTCTCCCCTGTGTTGTGTTGTTTATTGTTTTTTTGTATCTTCTTGTTAGCTCACATAATTATAAAGAATATCTTTATATGCATAGAAACAAACTGCAGCAGCAGTTGCTGTCCCTCAGCAGCAAAAAGAAAAGACAGAAGAAAGCATCTAGCGGTGTAGCTGCAACAGTAGAGAACATCACGCTACTGCTGCTGCTGCTGCTGCTGCTGCTGCTTCTGTTGCTGCTGCTCCTGTTTCTGCTGCTGCTTGTGTTGCTGCTTCTGGTGCTCAGGGTCTATCTCTACGCTAGCGTGTGGGAGTGAACTGGCAGCTTATGGGGTGTAAAGCAGCGGCGGGCTCGCTGATAATTAGGGTTTAGGGTTTAGGGTTTAGGGTTTAGCTGAGCAGCTTTGTATACACGAGTATCTTCAGCTCGGTTTTGCTGCTGCTGCTGCCAGATATAATTTGCATGCATTTCTTTGGGGGTTGTATTGTATAGTGGCAACAAAAAAAGACAGAGAAAGTTTTATTTTATTTTATTTTTATTTTATTTTATTTTATTTGTCTGTTTTAGTTTGTTTTTGTTTTATAATAGACCCAAATAAAAAAATATAAATAACACAGAAACAGATGAATAAATATAAGTGAAAACAACAAATACAACAATTATTATTTTCTTTATTAATCTCTTTATATTAAATAAAAAAATTATTATTATTATCTCTTTATATTATATAAATATATATAATATATATATATATACATATATATATATATATATATATATATTTTATATTATATATATAAATATATATAATATATATATATTATATAAATAATATCATTGTCTACTGCTTATGTAGCAGCAACATCTCCCCCTTCTCCCCTTCTATCCTGGGGGCCCCTCCTTCTCTTCCTGCTGAGCAGATGAAGCAAAGAAAACTGCCTGCGAAATCTCCAGCGGGGGGGCCCCCCAGATAGAGACGTCTGGGGGGCCCCCAAGGGGGGCCCCTCATGGCTCCCCCCAGACACGGGTTTCCGCGGGGCCCCCGAGGGGGGCCCCCCCTGGGGGCCCCCAGTTGAGGGTTTCTTCGGGGCCCCTGAGGCTGAGAAGGGGGGCCCCCTTGAATGAGACTGTTGGGGCCCCCGTGAGTCAGCCTGTTGCGAGCCTCTAGATAGCAGCAGCAGCTGGTGTTTCTGCTGCAGCAGCTGCTGCTGCTGCAACTGCAGCAGCTGCTGCTGCTGCAACTGCAGCAGCTGCTGCTGCTGCAACTGCAGCAGCTGCTGCTGCAGCTGCTCAGGAGGCCCTCCGGCAGCCTGGCGGGGGCCCCCTCTACGCTGTTGGGGGGCTCCTGATGACTGCTGCTGCGGGGGCCCCCCTTGGGGCCCCAAGACAAAGGGGGCCCCCAGGTAAGGGGTCGATGTCTCCTTTGTAAGGAGACGGGGCCCTTTGCGAGGCAGCTGTGCATCAGCAGCTGCAGCAGCAGCAGCAGCAGCAGCAGCATCAGCAGCAGCAGCAGCAGCAACAAATGAGGCATCAATTGAAGGGCTCTGAGCCCAGGACCATCCGCTTGGGTCTCGTTCCCATCCTGGGGGCCCCCCATTGTGGTTGAGGGGGCCCCCCTGTCTCTGCTGCTGCACTGTACCCCTGGGGGCCCCCATAGAGGTAGTAAGGAGACTAGTCTTTCTTGCTTGCAGCACAGCACCCTCAAAGACAGAGGAGACAGAAGGGAGAGGAGACAGCTCATGAGGAGACAGCTGCTGAGGAGACAGTTGCTGAGGAGACAGTTGCTGCGGAGACAGCAGCGAAGGTGACACCTCAGCAGACAGCAGCGACGGAGACAGCTGAGAAGACAGCTGAGGAGACAGCTGCTGCGGAGACAGCTGCTGCGGAGACAGTTGCTGCGGAGACAGCTGGAGAGGAGACAGTTGCTGCTCTTTATTTGTTTTATTAAGCCCCACAGATGAAGACGAGGGGACCCCCACCAACCCCACCAAATCACCACCTTTCTGCTGCACCTGCGGTGTACACACAGCTGACACCCCCGGGTGTCTGTACACCTCAGCTCCAGCAGCAGGAGCAGCAGCAGCAGCAAACCCTAAATCCTTCTCCGTTACACACAACACCGGGCCTCTACCACTCCTCTTGCTGCTGCTCCTGCTGCTGCTCCTGCTGCTGCACCTGCTGCTGCTCCTGCTGCTGTTCCTGCTGCTCCTGCTGCTGCTGCTGTTGCTGCTTCTGCTGCTGAGAAGGGCTGACTCTATAGCTAAGGGGCTGGGGGGCCTCTGCAGCAGCGAGGATTCCCAGGTTGCTCGCAGCAGCATGGGGGCCCTTGGGGCTACTGCAACAGAACGAGGTCCGGGCCCTGCTGCTGCTGCTGCTGGTACTCTTGCTGCTGCTCCTGTTGCTGCTGTTGTTGCTGCTGCTGCAGGGCTCTGGGGGTCGTTGAGCGAGCTGAGAGCCACAGAAGCCCAGTGACGCTGCGCTGACTCTGCAGCAGCAAAAACGCAAGAAAAGATAAAACTGCAGCAGCAGCAGCACGAGCAGCAGCAGCACGAGCAGCAGCAGCAGCAGCACGAGCAGCAGCAGCACGAGCAGCAGCAGCACGAGCAGCAGCAGCAGCAGCAGCACGAGCAGCAGCAGCAGCAGCAATATAAGCAGCAGCATACCGATAAGAGAGAGTATCTGTCTACATACAGCAGGAGACGTAGACGGCAGCGGCAGCTTCTGTATGTGGTGGGGTTTCGTCAGCATAGAGAAGTGCAGCGCCCGCCGGGCGGTGACCTCAAGCCCCTCCCCATCCTAAGGAGACAAATATAATAAATAAATAAATAAATAAATAAATAAATAAATATAAATATGTAAATAAAAAAAAGGAGACAAGTTTAATACGGAGATACCATAGATATAGCTAAAGAGAAAGGAGACATATAAAACAGAAAAAAACGAGCAAACAGAAATACAGAGAGAAACAAATACATTTATATATCAAGAAACAACGGTCACTGATGCATATATACATGTACATATACATATATATATATATATATATATATATATATATATATATATATATATATATATATATATA